CCCACCATTTCCCCCCTTCTTCTCCCCCTTGTTCCTCCGTCAAGTTCTTCCTAATCCTCCTATACGTCTGCACTCTTTTTAAATTCAATGAGCATTATAAATTGTATTTTTCTATTCTTTTTTTTTTTAATGTTTATTTATTTCTAGGAGACAGAGAGAGAGAGACAGCGTGAGGAGGGGAGGGTCAGAGAGAGAGGGAGTCACAGACTGAAACAGGCTCCAGGCTTTGAGCTGGCAGTCAGCACAGAGCCCGATGCGGGGCCTGAACCCACAAACCGTGAGATCATGACCTAAGCAAAAGTCGGACGCTTAACCAACTAAGCCACCCTGGCACCCCATTTTCTATTCTTTTTTATTAGGTTTTTACCATTCCGGTTTGATTTAGACTCCTGTGCTACTGTGATGAAATTACTGTTCTTTTCTATCTTTTCTTGCAGAAGAGAGTCTTTTTTAAATTCTATTTTGATTAACAAGGTTGTTTGGAATCCACTGTCTTAACCCTCCTTTCCTTTTCCCTGCTATTCATTTTATTTTGTAAATTCCATTTTCTAAAAATGTGTTTCTACCAAAATGCACACCTTTAAGAAGCAGGAAAGATGAATGAAGGAAGTGAGGTCCCGCTCATTTGGATCTTACAATAATTGAAGAAAGCAGAGTGGGTGAAATAAACGTGTGTAAGACATCATGTCTTCAAGGGGATACATACGAAGAAAGGAGACAGGTTTCCGAGGCGCGTATAGGATTTACAGGGACGCCTACACGCGTTGCACAAAAATCAGCAACAGGACGAGACTTGCCCGATGAGTTTGGCAAAAAAGAGATTAAAACCCAGGACCCAGGGATTACACAGAAATGTGAGAGGAGGGCCGGCCTCGTCCATTACTGGGCCCCATGAGAAGCAGTGTGGTCCAACACAGAGGAATAAAGTGGCATAAAAGCCACACAAGGGCCTGATGTGGATACGATTAGGAGCGAAGGGGGTGATGAAAGTGCAGTGAGGGTGCGGCCCCTGCGTCTGGAGGGGACACGGCGCCCACCCCGGCGCCCGCTCTCTCCGCAGCCTGGCTGGTGGAACGGGCTCTTTCTTCAGGGTGCTTTTCCCTCACTAGCAGGAGCTGACTTCCTTTAAACCTCTCCTGGCATTGACTGCCACGGATGAGAAAATTTTTGACTTTATCCCAGAGCAAAACATGCCTGTTACACGTGACCCAGCACGCTGCAGGGGCAAACACGGACAGAAGCATGTCTGTGCACATGCACAGGGCTCCCCAGGGAGAACCAGGAAATGACTGGGTTCGCAGCCTGAGCACGTGCGATGCGCTCTGGTAATTTCTGTTGTGCCTCATTTCTTCTATTCTAGTTTATTCTTGCAGACCCCAGCCTGACCCCACACATGGTCCCGTTCTAAGAATATGGAAAACAGTCCTGTCTCGTGTCCTCTGTTCCTGTGCTAGTAACTCCCTGTTTCTATTCTCTCTCTCATCACTGGAACTTCTGTGAGCACAGAGCCTCTCATTCCCACATGCAATCTGTATTTATTCCTAGTGTCCCCAGCCAAGCTATGTCTGGGCATAAAGGGCGGGAGTGACCATAACACGCCCCCAGGGCACCCACAGTCTAGCAGGGAAACGCATATGGAATTAAATAAAAATTACACAGTGGTGACCCTTACATCTAACTTATTGCGAGAGAAAGTCCTTTTTCTGTGACAATATTAACAGAAACCACACCCAGAAAGGTTCATGAAGAATCTGAAAGAGGTGATGGGATTTTCAAGATAGAGAGGAGGTGAAAAGTTCCAAATAGGCCAGTGGGAGACTCCAAGCAGAGGGAAGCAGGTGTGTAGAGGCTCTGAGCCCTGAGATTGGGGCTTCAGGTGAAGGTACAACTCAGGTTCAATGTCTGTGAGGTGGATGTGGGTGAGGCAGTGTGAGTGTGAAGCTGGTGAGCAGGTCAGGGGAGGCAAGCCAAGTGTTGGAAGGTATGGAATTTGGGGTTCATTCTCCACGGGGGAGTCATCAGGAAGGGGTTAATCTGGGGAAGTGGGCAGTAGCGCACCTGTGATCTAGAAAGACCTCTCGGGCTGGGCCACCTGGATGGTTCATTATGTTGAGTGTCAGACTTCAGCTCAGGTCATGATCTCACAGCTTGTGAATTCTAACCCTGAATCGGGCTCTGTTCTGACAGCTCAGAGCCTGGAGCCTGCTTCAGATTTTTTCTTCCTCTCTCTCTGCCCCTCCCCTGCTCATGCTCTGTCTCTGTCTCTCTCTCTAGAATAAATAAATAATGAAAACAACAAAAGGTTAAAAAAAAAAAAAAGACCTCTCAGGGTTGATGTGAATATTGGCTGGAGGGGTCCCAGCCCATGATAGGTGGAGACAAGACAAGGAACTGAAATAAGTCTGTGGATTAAGGACCCCAGAGGTGGGGAAGTGATGAGGACATCTGAGAGAAGAAAAAAATCAACCAAATTTCCTCACCAGTGAGAAGCACCCATTATCAACAGAGGGAACCATGCTAAGCTCTTTATGGCGTATTAGCTAAATATGTCAACCGCCTGAGCAGGACAGATACCTCTAGCCCTACTATTTAGGGAAGGATATTGGCATTGACAATAGTTTGGTTGGGGAGGTGGGGGAAGAGAAGAGAGGGAAACAAGCCACAAGAGACTCATAAGGACAGACAGCAAACTGAGGGCTGATGGAGGCAGGGGATGGGGGATGGGCTAGATGGGTGCTGGGGATGAAGGAGGGCACTTGCTGTGAGGAGCACTGGGTGTTGTAAGAGATGAATCACTGAATTCTGCTCCTGAAACCAATATTGTACTGTATGTTAAGTGACTAGAATTTGAAGAAAAAGAAAAAATAGTATAGATTTGGTTTTTTTCCAAATTCAAATAGCAAATCTGTGTACATCTGAAATCCAAAACCCGAGTTCCTAATTATACAGGTTTGCATTATATATTATTTAGAAAGTGTTTTTTTAGCAAATAATCTTTAAAATTACCTCATTTTTGTTGTACTCTGTGTATTTCCTTTTGTGAATTGTGAGTGTCTTCCCTTGCTTGTTATTCTGGTGGGATGTCTTGATAACATGAAGACCTTCATACTTTAGGATAAATTGATTTTTGCTGCTTTATTATGCTGGGCATCAAGGAGTTGCATCTGGGGTTGGGGTGTTGCCAGGACCAGGGGCACTTTCTCATCCCCATCGCTGGGGCCACCTGAGCTCATTACATCTTTCTCTCCAGTTTTCTTGCTCTCAGTTTATGGAACTGATGGTTTAGTTTTCTTTAAGCACCGGACATGAAACGATCATATGGAAATGGAGACCCAAGTTTACACGCTCATGGAAATAGGACCCCTGTTTACATCTTTAGAGGAAGACAATGTGATGTCGACAGCCCGCCTTGTATCATTGTTTGTGTAATTATTGTGGCTATAGGTGAGAATAACCATAGGAGCCTACAGTGTGTGTGTGTATGTGTGTGTGTGTGTGTGTGTGTGTGTGTGTGTGATAGAGATTCTCAAGGCAGAGGTCCTGAAACCCATCGCTCTAACACATGACCCTTAAAATACAGGTGTCAGATTACCACCCAACGTATGAAGGTAGAAAGGGTCCATTTCTATTCAAAGATTCCTTGGAAACAAAACTAATAAAGTGCAAGACACACATGTGAAGGAGGGATTCCTTGTGTTCTGGTTTTACCAGTGTCGTTAGGGAGGCCACCGCGTTCCCCAACACTCCCTGCCACTGCCTCTCATCACCCTTCCTCTTGCTCCTGTCCCTGGACACACTGGCTTTCTTTAGAGCCTTGATTTTTAAAACAATAAGCAAACCAACAAAACGCAGAATGGTGAAGTGGATCGGGTGGTACCAGCTTCCAGTGAAGGAATTCCTTCCATGGTAAGGAATGATGACTCACAGGAGTATAAGGCACAGCAGAGGAAATACAGTCAGTGACACTGTCCCCGTGTTGTGTGGTGACAGATGGCAGCTCCACATGTGGTGACCAGGGCGTGATGTTTAAACTTTTTGAATCATGGTGTTGTCCACCCCACACTGATGTAACATGGTGCGTCAAGAACCCTCATTTTTTAAAATTGTTGTAACAAACCCACGTCTTCTCTCAGAGCCTTTGCCGGGTTGTTGCCTCTGATGGGCACACTCTTCACCAGAGGATCTTGTGTCCTGTGTCCTTGAGGCCTCTGATTAAATGTGTGCTGGGGTCCCCAAACAACCGGTAAAAATAACACCTTCCTTTACACAAGGTTTGTTTTCTTTCATAGCACCTGTCACCTCCTGATACTTTATCTGGTCTTTCACTTGCTTCTCCTCTTTCTCCATCATTGAACCCTACAGGCTTGACGTGTATACTCTTTGCCTGGAGGCTAGTCAGTGCTCAAGGTTAATCCTCAAATGCATGACAGAATTTCTGTTTAAAAATAAAGAATAGATGAGGGGCGACTGAGTGGCTCAGTCGGTTAAGCGTCCAGCTTCGGCTTAGGCCATGATCTCACTGTTCGTGGGTTCGAGCCCCACGTTGGGCTCTGTGCTGACAGCTCAGAACCTGGAACCTGCTTCGGATTCTGTGTCTCCCTCTCTCTCTGACCCTCCTCTGCTCATGTTCTGTCTCTCTGTGTCTCAAAAATAAACTATAAAATTTTTTTTTAAAAATATAGAATAGATGAGTAGTTGCGGAAAAAGCTAATGGTGGGATGTGAATTCCAATTAGAGCTGGCATGAGGTTTCTGAGAGGGGACAAATTCCATACCAAAAGTATGAAAATTGACCTTTTGAATGCAAAATAAAAATTACAGAATTTCGAAGATATTTGTCATGTTCATTACTGACAAAATGGGTCATGTTATTTTTTTGTTCCCTCTAGTCATCTCCAGCACATGGAGCCAGGAAATGATACAGAAATGTCAGAATTTCTTCTTCTGGGATTTTCAGAGGAACCAGAATTACAGCCCCTCATATATGGGCTTTTCCTCTCCATGTACCTGATCACTGTGTTTGGAAACCTTCTCATCATCCTGGCCGTCAGCTCTGCCTCCCACCTCCACACGCCCATGTACTTCTTCCTCACTAATCTGTCCTTTGTGGACATCTGTTTCACCTCCACCACCGTCCCCAAGATGCTGTGGAACATCCAGACTCAGAGCAAGGTCATAACCTATACAGACTGCATCAATCAGATGTACTTTTTCATACTCTGGGCAGGATTAGACGTCTTTCTCCTGAGCGTGATGGCCTATGACCGCTTTGTGGCCATCTGTCATCCCCTACACTACACAGTCATCATGAACCCCCGGCTCTGTGGGCTGCTGGTTCTCGTGTCCTGGATCATGAGTATCCTGAATTCCCTGTTACACAGTTTAATGATATTGCGGCTTTCCTTCTGCGCACACTTGCACATCCCCCACTTCTTTTGTGAACTCAATGAGATGCTCCAACTTGCGTGTTCTGACACGTTTCTTAATAACTTGATGTTGTATTTTACAACTATGTTGCTGGGTGGTGGTCCTTTTGCGGGGATCCTTTACTCTTACTCCAAGATAGTTTCTTCCATATGTGAGATCTCATCAGCGCAGGGCAAATATAAAGCGTTTTCTACCTGTGCATCTCACTTCTCAGGTGTCTTCTTGTTTTTTTGTACCAGCCTGGGAGTGTACCTTAGCTCTGCTGCTACCCAGAGCTCCCACTCAAGTGCAGTAGCCTCAGTGATGTACACAGTGGTCACGCCCATGCTGAACCCCTTCATCTACAGCCTGAGGAACAAAGACATAAAGAGAGCTCTGAAAAGAATCATTGGGTTCCAGCAGTGTAAGGGCCATTAGTCCAGGGCTGAAGACATGCCCATGATTGCAGGGCTCAAAGCTTAAGTGCCAGGAACTGCTATTCTTTGATCAGACTGTGGAAGTAAAATCTGCTCCTTCTATTTATTTCCTGGAATTTCCATTTGTTTGAATTCAGCTTCTCTATACGTTGAAGTAATTCACTTTATCACCTTCTGCTCTGTCTGATATGACCATTTCACATTTGTTCATTTTCATATGTCCCCAGTTTTTTCTTCAACCTTGGAACATGAATGCCTGGGAATTTCTGTATCTTACAATGGGCAAGTTGGTTTTCTTAAAAATAATTTAATTCAGGGCACCTGGTTGGCTCAGTCAGTTAAGTGTTCAACTTTGGTTCAGGTCGTGATCTTGCAGTTCATGAGTTCAAGCCCCATGTCGGGCTCTGTGCTGACAGCTCAGAGCCCAGAGCCTGCTTTGGATTCTGTTTCCCTCTCTCTCTGTTCCTTCCCTGCTCACACTCTGTCTCGCTCTGAAAAATAAGTAAAGATTTATACAAAATTGTTTAAAATAATTTCATTTCAAGTAACTTATACCATGCCATGTAAATTTTCCCTAGATTTCCACAAAGAATAATCACGAGTTGGGTTATTCATGTGGGGAAAAGAACTACACTTGGCCACTAAGCCCCCTACATAAGTTTATTGTAGTTGGAAATGCCAAACACTGTTTTCACCTGGAGTCTGTCGATCTTAAGTAGTCTCTGATGCTGTGGATTCTTACAGTGTTCTGTTTGAACACTATCGACACCAATGCTCAAGGTAGGAAAGCCCGGGCATGTGCCTGTGGATATTGCCACAGATGTTTCCCTGACCAGAGCCTATACTGTGACTCCACTGGCCTTTGGGTTCTTATTTTCATCACAAGGCACACCTCAGCAGCACCCATCAGAGAACTCTAAAAACACAGGGCTTATTTCTCATGCATGCTGGAGGGCACATGGGATGCCCAAAGGCCATTTAAGGAAGTCTCAGAAAGGGAGAAAGCCATGACAGAGAGAGAGAGAGAACACTGCTGAAGGATCTGGCTTTTGGGGGGTCCATGGGTGGAGGGGCTAGGGTTTCTGGGCTCATTTGTTATTAGTATTTAAAACATGAGTGGAGTTGGATGATGGGAAAACGGGGGAAGGAAGGTGAGAGCAGAGCTATGGAATGAGTAAGTCATGGGAATGGAAGGCATAGTAATGGAATATAGTCCTCTATAATGGAATAGCGATGTAATGGGACAGATGTCAGCTACACTTGCGTGAGCCCCACATTATGTATAGAGAAGTTGAATCATTGTATTGTAAACCTGAGACTAATGTAACATTGGGTGTCAACTAAACTCATATAAAGAATTAAAGAAAAAGAATAATAAAATATTTTCCTCCAGTACTTAAAAATACCAATAGCAAAAAAACATACAAAAAGCCCAGTAATGCAATGTGGGCACAGAACAGGAAAAGCTGTTTAAAAAAGTTACCTAGATTACCAGGTCTTTCTAAAGGGGTACTTTGTAGGTGGGGTGGCCTGTGTGTTTATATAGTAATTGTGTCATACACCTGGCAATATGTTAATATGAATGGTGGTCTTTGAAATGGATGCCTCAGAAACCAAAAGATTAATGTCAGTCACTTACTCTACAAACATGCTGCTGTATTTCATTCCTGGACTCTTGTTTTTGGGGAGTTTGTTTGTTTGTTTGTTTGTTTATTCTGTTATTCAGTCCGGTGTCCAGAGGCCTACGATAGCCATTGGCAAAAACTGATTAGCAAATATATATCTCTAAGTGGACTCATCATGGAAAGACAAGTTGGAATAAATAGATTGATCTAATACGTTCTTAGTGTCAGAGAAGACCATAAATATGAGGAAACAAATCTTCAAAACACCCATTTTGTTACCATGAAAAATATTCCTTTTTCATGGTCTGCATCTATTTAATGAAGCACGGAAGATCTTGTCCCAGCTGAGGGGGGTTATTCATTGAGGTGAGGGGTTGCTTAGGGTCTTCTCTGTTTTATCACTGAATTAGCTTTCTGGTTCTTCCTAAAAACATCTAATTCTACATGCGATTGTGAGTCTTCCTACTGTTCCATGGAATAAGTTCCTTTTCCTGGTATCTGTCACCAATGCTAAGGGTTGGCGAAGGAACAGTATCAGCCTCACCCATTCTGTATCTCCTTCTGCTCTGAAATCTCCCACCTGCATGAGCAGAGGATGCTTCACACGAGGGCTGTGTGTCCTGCAGACATGTGGTTCAGGGTCACCAGGGCTTCTGCACAAACATGCATGGCCTTCAAACTCTCCCCATTACCCAGAAGGGAGCCCACTTGTTCATAAATTCGTTTGAAATAAACTTGAATCACAGAACGATCATGACAGCTCTCCTCAATGTCAGTCATATGCCACAAATAAAAAGCAGCACATCTTCTAATTGCCTCAGGTCTGTTCGCTTGGGTTATTGTGTCAGTCAGCTATTGTTGTGTAACAGGCGTTCCTTGTTAAATGAGTTACCGTAATACTTTTAGAGTCAAATGGAATCATATGCTGGGGAGAGTTTCTGATCTCTGCTGGGCTCCTCATGGGTCTGGGATCAGGTGTTAATCTCTACAATGTGTTTCGAAGGCTCATCCATGGTGTTACTCAGCCAATTTATGGTCAGGTTACTCCTCCTACATGGAGGTTAATCTTCTATTTATAGACACAATTTCTTTATCATGTGAATTACTTAAATGTAATTCCATTGTTCGGACATCCATTCTAACAATTTCTTCCTCATTAGAATTGCTATCTCCTACTCCTCTTAAGTGAGAATCAGCTACCTGTACTCTGGAATCTACTTAGCCATGCACCATTAGATTTTTTTCCCCACTGAGTTAAATCTTTGGAGTGTAATTACACACTGTAACCTGCATATGTAAAGTGGACACTTTGGTGAATTAAAGGAGCTACACACACAAAAAAAACCCAGTAGATATTTCAAGTTTCTTGTTGTGTATGATTTAAGGCTGTCACATAAACTTTCACTGCTTTACTGGGTAATTTTTTTTAAATTTATTTCTAGGAGAGAGAGAGAGAGAGACAGCGTTAGCAGGGGAGGGTCAGAGAGAGAGTGAGTCACAGACTGAAACAGGCTCCAGGCTCCGAGCTGGCAGTCAGCACAGAGCCTGACGCGGGGCTCGAACTCACAAACCGCGAGATCATGACCTGAGCGAAAGTCGGACGCTTAACCGACTAAGCCACCCAGGCGCCCTTGGGTAATTTTTTTTTAAGAGAGAGAGACAGAGAGAGCAGGAGGGGTGCAGACCTGTTCAATCTCCTACCTTGATTCCCTCGTGCTCTAGAAAATAACATGTTCCTAAGTCCTGATTAAGAGGTGGACATACATGGGAGGCTCTTTTTCTGTCTTCTAAAAAGTCTTTTTCAAAACATCATTGTTTTCGGGGGATTTGACAAGTTTACACATTGTGTTCTGCTCACGAGAGTAGCTATTGTCTGTTCCCAGGCAAGGCTATTACAATAAGTTGACTGTACTCCTTACACTGTGCCTCTTAGGCCCATGATTTATTCATTCCATAAGTAGAAGCCTGTACCTCCCACTGTTGTACACTTGCCCCCCGTGTAACCTTGTTGAAAGTTGAATTAAACATTCCCTCTACGTGCTCAGTACAGGTGATAGCACATAAGAAGAGCTCAGTATATCTCTTCGAATTAACAAACACTCTCTAAGAGGGACTGACAGCTTTTTGCTTGAGATAAAGGAAGAAAATCCTAATTGTAACAGCAAAGATGTCTTGAAGCCAGTGTATGTAGTGCCCAAGGTTTATGATCAGAAGAACCTAGTTCTCCACCCTATTGAATAGAAGAATAGACACTGGAGATAGCTGGGTCCTCACCACAGGTCAAGGCTTTGAAGATAAAGAGACCTCGTCCAGGCAGTTTCCTCAGTGTTAGACCTGGGGGAAACTGCAAATGGAGCTGAGATAAGGTGCTAGATTTACTCACCAGGAAGGAGGCAAGTTCAAGGAGAAGGAGTAAAAAAAAAAGAAAATCCGGCTGGATTCACTAATTCTTTTTTTAATGGTGGTTTTGGTTTTTTTTGAGAGACAGGGAGTGGGGGAGGGGCAGAGAGAGAAGGAAACACAATCCGAAGCAGGCTCCAGGCTCCGAGCTGTCAGCACAGAGCCCGATGTTGTTGCAGGATTCTCACGCAGAGAGTCGTGACACCAAGGCTTTTCTTTCCAGGAAGCAACTTTATTCGTGCCAGCACCGCTCAGTTGGGTTCGTACCCAAAGAACTGAGCGGCCCACACCACATGGCATAGTTTTTTAATGCATTTTCTATTTCTTTGTCTCTCATATATGGTAACACACATAAACATGCAGTCTGATTAAGTTGTCTCAGTTTACAAGGCCATGGGGGATGTAGGCACCTGGGCGCATATCTAGGTGACTTGAAGTCTTCTCTCCTCTTTTTTTTTTTTTCTCTCTCTTTAGGGAGGGGTTCCTACCACAATGTGGGGCTCGAGCCTATGAACTGTGAGATCATAACCTGAGCCGACATCGGCTGCTTAACTGACTGAGCCAGCCACCCTGGTGTCCCAGAGGATTCACTACTTCTAAACGGTTCTCTTGGGGACATGATTCATTAGGGAAATTTCCTTTGCACGAATAGGGTTCCACTAGGGAACCGTGCTGGAGTAACACGAGGGAAATGGACCTAATGAGCAGATACAGGGAGCTGTAAATACCTCCTGCTTTCCTGTCTGTCAGCCTGTGCGACCCTTGGACAGGAAGGGGCATGGTTTTTGTCTGTTTGTTCTGAGTCCTAATTCTGGCTGGGAGCTGATGCTTCACTGCCTCCTGCTGTCTCAGGTGAGGGCAAACCTTCAGTCCCTATTATCTGCCATCCAGGGAGGAACTCAGGCTTCCACAAGGAGACTTTCCCATCAGACACACCCCAGCCAGGTGAGTCCAAAGGCCCAGTGCATCCTGGATG